TTCTCGCTTTCTGTCTCTCTTGCTCTCTCTCTGTCTTTCTGGCAAGTGCACACGCCCTATAGCAAAAACCTCTCCCTCCCCCCCCCAATTTTTTTTTTTAATAAATCATTCTTAAATAAAAAAGAATGTCTAGTTCCTGGGACCAGAAATGGTGTAATGGCCCCATCACTGGATTCCCACATAGCTGACCGTGGTTCGAGTCCTGGACCCAGCAGTTTAAAACTCATGCCAGGGGAGGGACCAGCAGGTAGCTTGGTGGTTGGGGTGCTGGAAACTCCCATATGGCCGATCATGGTTTGAGTCCCAGACCTGGTGACTTGATTTCTCTCTCTCTCTTTCTCTCTCGTTCTGTGTGTGTGTCTATCTCTGGTCAAATTAAAATAAATGAATAAATAAAATTAAAATAATTTTTAAAATATCATGCCAGGTGCAGGTGTGCACCTGGGGACCAGCAGGTGGCATGGTGGTTAAGGGCACTGGACTCCCACATGGCCAACCATGGTTCAAGTCCTGGATCTGGAAGCTTGCTTTCTCACTTTCCCTCTCTCTCACTCTGTCCCTCTCTGGTCAAAATTCAAATAAATAAAGAAAGATAAATAAAACAATTCTTAAAGAAATTAAAAGGAATCGAATGCATCATTTCTACCCCTCAGCTCTGGAAGATAGGTTTACATGCCTGAAGTCACACAGCAAATCAAAAGATGAAGAAAACCCTTTCCTGTTCTTTTCATCCCCCTACTACCACTCAGGAGTTCGGAGCAATTCGTACTAGAGTGTGAATGACTGATGGATGTCGCTTACCCAGAATGGCTTGTTTTATTTTGTTTTCTTTTCTTTTCTCTTTTAAACGAGGACCTGAGGGTGGAGTTAGAATGTTCTGGAAGCTAGAAAATTCTTTTTTAGGTGTCTTGCCTACCATAACCAGATATTCTTTTTTTTTTTTTTAAAAAGTTCGTGAAAACGAAAAGTATAAGTATATTTTGGTGCCCCCCAAAAATGTTGATATCTATGTATGGCTATTTTTATAATATGCATTCAATGAACTTTTTTTTTTTAGAGATTTTTGCTATAGGGTGCATGTGCTTGCTAGAGAGACAGAGAGAAAGAGAGACAGAAAGCGAGAAATCACCTCCCCCATGGGGGGCATGGCCATGCTGCAACCCCTTCTCCTCCAGTATCCTCTCAGGATTTGGGGCACATATACACACATGCCCAGTGTGAGATTTCTTTTTAGAGAGATTTTTGCTATAGGGCGCATTTGCAAGCCAGAGAGAAACAGAGAGACAGAAAGCGAGAAATCACCCCCCAGGGGGGATGGCCACGCCGCAATCCCTTCTCCTCCATTCTCCTCTCGGGATCTTGGGCACGCACGCACACGCGCCTGGCATGAATTTAAGCCACCGGGTCCAGGACTCGAACCATGGTCGGCTACATGGGAGTCCAGTGACATAGCCATGACGCTAACTGCTGGTCCCAAGAGAGGGTTTTTTTTTCCTTTAGAATTATTTATTTAATTTTATTTGTTTACTCATTTATTTTCATTTGACCAAATAGAGAGAGGAAAGGGAAAGCGAGAAAGCAAGCTACCAGGTCCGGGACTTGAACCACGATCGGCCACACCACCTGCTGGCTCCAAGGGAGATTTTTGCTATAGAACGCATGTACTCACCGGAGAGACAGAGAGATGGCCATGCCACAATCCCTTCTCCTCCATTCTCCCCTCTGGATTTTGAGCACACACGCACCGCATGTGAGTTTCAAGCTACCAGGTCCGGGACACGAATCGCCGTCGAGCATAGTCGACCATATGGAAGTTCAACGCCTTAACCACTCTGCCACCTGCTGGCCCTATTAATTATTCTTTTCTTTTCTTTTTTCTTTTTCTTTCCTTTTTTTTTTTTGAGAGAGATTTTTGCTATAGGGCGTATGCGCTCACCAGAAAGACAGAGAGAGAGGGGACCAGCAGGTGGCATGGTGGTTAAGGTGCTGGACATTCCCACATGGCCAACCATGGTTCAAGTCCTGGATCTAGTGGCTTGGTTTTTCACTTTCTCTCTCTCTCTGTGTCTCTCTGATCAAAATAAAATAAGTAAATGAATAAAGTTAAAAATAATTAAAAATTAAAAAGAGAGAGACAGACAGACAGAAAGCAAAAAATCACCCCCCAGGGGGGATGGCCACACCGCAATCCTTCTCTTCCATTCTCTTGGGGCCCAGCATGAGTTTTAGCTATGACATAGCCATTATGCCAACTGCTGGTCCTCTATTATTATTTTTCTAAGTTACTAATAGAACATGTGCATGAGAGAGAGAGAGAGAGAGAGAGAGAAAGAGAGAGAGAAAGAGAGAGAAAGCCACCAGGTCCAGGACTTGAACCGTGGTTCATCATGTGAGAGTGCCCAGCGCCCTAACAACCGCACCACCACGCCACCTGCTGGCACAGCGCGGTATTTGGTTCTAAACAGCGTGTTTGGGAGGCCAGGTACAGGAAGCCTGATTGACAAGCTGCCTTCCTGAGCTCAGAGCCTGCACCCCCTACCCAGGCCACTTCCGCTTTTCAGCCCTATTTGCATCTGCTTTGCATATCCCGCCCTTTCCCATCAGGAGCCTCCCTAGCCCTCCCCCCCAGCCTCCCCAGCCTCCTGGCCCTGGACTGTTGCCCAGGGTCATGACTGTCACCTTCCTGATGGGATTGTCCCAGGTCCTCCCAACCTCATCTATCATATCTGGGCTTCTCAGAAAAGACCCCGGAGGGGCCGGCAGGTGGTGTGGTGGTTAAGGGTACTGAACTCCCACATGATCAAGCACGGTTCAAGTCCTGGACCTGGCAGCTCGCTTTCTCATTTTCCCTCTCTCTGTCCCTCTCTGGTCAAAATTAAGTAAATAAATGAATCGGTTAAACATAATAATTCTTTTGAAAATAAATACAGGGACCAGCAGTTAGCGTAATGGCTATGTCGCTGGACTCCCATGTAGTCAACCATGGTTTGAGTCCCGGACCCAGTGGCTTAAACTCACGCCGGGCGCGTGTGCGTGCATGCCCAAGATCGCGAGAGGAGAATGGAGGAGAAGGGATTGCGGCGTGGCCATCCCCCCTGGGGGGTGATTTCTCGCTTTCTGTCTCTATGTCTCTCTCTGTCTTTCTGGCAAGCGCACGCGCCCTATAGCAAATAAAGAAATAAGTAAATACAAAGTTAAATAAAATAGTTATTTCATTTATTTATTTTAATTTGACCAGAGAGGGACAGAGTGAGAGAAAGAGAGAGATAGAGAAAGCATCTTGCCAGATTGGTCCGGGACTTGAACCTTGGTTAGCCACGTGAGACTGTCCAGTGCCCTTAACCACCACACCTGCTGGTCCCAATCATTCTTTTTTTCTTTTCTTTTCTTTTTTTTTTTTGAGAAGTTTTTGCTATAGGGTGCATGCGTTTGCCAAAAAGAGAAAGACAGAGAGACAGAGAGACAGAAAGCGAGAAATCACCCCCCAGGGGGGATGGACGCCGCAATCCCTTCTCCTCCATTCTCCTCTCGGGATCTTGGGCACACACGCACACGCGCCCGGCGTGAGTTTAAGCCACCGGGTCCAGGACTTGAACCATGGTCGACTATGTGGGAGTCCAGCAACATAGACATTACGCTATCTGATGAACTCCCAATAATTCTTTTAAAATGAAAAAAAGAAAACCACTCACAGCAAGTTTCTCCCTTCTCCTGACATTTGTCCCTGGCCCCGCCCCTTGAAATTCTCTGAACTGGAGCCTCCAGGTGGTGTGGTGGTTAAGGTGCTGGCCACTGCCACATGGCTGACAGCAGTTCAAGTCCCAGACCTGGCGGCTTGCTTTCTCACTTTCCCTTTCTCTCTCTGTCTCTCTCTGGTCAAGTTAAAATAAATGAATGAATAAATAAAATAATTCATTAAAAAAAAACCCAAACAGTTGGATTCCTCAGCTGTGCATGGATGGGTAAGACACCCTACAAGGCTAACCCACATGCGAAGGTTTCCGGTTGAAGACCAGAGTCCCCTTGGGGTTAAGAGGCAGGTGCTTGTCCGTGATATCGGGCTGGCAGAAGCTGACAGCGAATCATGGTATTAAGAAGGGTAAACAGGGACCAGCAGTTGGCGTAATGGCTATGTCGCTGGACTCCCATGCAGTCGACAGCGGTTCGAGTCCCGGACCCGGTGGCTTAAACTCACACCGGGTACTTGTGCGTGCGTGCCCAAGATCCCGAGAGGAGAATGGAGGAGAAGGGATTGCGGTGTGGCCATCCCCCCTAGGGGGTGATTTCTTGCTTTCTGTCTCTCTGTCTGTCTCTGTCTGTCTGTCAATCACATGCACCCTATAGCAAAAACCTCTCCCCCCAAAAAAGCCAAATGAACAAACAAAAACTAGGACAGAGAAACTATTCAAAATAAAAACGCTGATGTAAGCCCGCAGTGTTTGTCTAGAGGATTGGGGCTGGGTGGAAGAGATGGGGGAAGGGCCGTCCCCATTTTCCCGAGGCGGAAATGGAGACTCACACCCAGCCCTGAGTCACACAGGATCAGAGCCCAGACAGTTGACTGCTACCACAGAGCCCCAACTCTCCTCTCTCGGGGTCCAAAAACTAGGTTTGCAGGTCATAAGGTGTAGACTGTACAAGCTTATTTCACTCTTTTTATTATTTTTTTCTAGAGACTTTTCGCTATAGGGTGCATGCGCTCACCAGCCAGACAGAGAGAGACAGAAAGTGAGAAATCACCCCCCAGGGGGGATGGCCACGCCGCAGTCCCTTCTCCTCCATTCTCCTCTCGGGATCTTGGGCACGCACGCACACATGCCCGGCGTGAGTTTAAGCCACCGGGTCCGGGACTCGAACCACAGTCGACTACATGGGAGTCCAGTGACATAGCCATGACGCTAACTGCTGGTCCCAAGACTTCTTTATTTAATTTCATTTGTTATTATTATTTTTCAGTTCAACCAGAGAGAGAGAGAGAGAGAAAGCAAGAAAGCAAGTTGCCAGGTCTGGGACTCGAACCACAGTCAGCCATGTAGGAATCCAGCACCTTTAACCACCAGGCCACCTGATGGTCTTATTTTATTTTATTTATTTATTTATTCATTCATTTTAATTTGACCAGAGTGAGAGAGAGAGAGAGAGAGAAAGTCACTAGAGAGAGACAGAGAGAGGGAAAGTAAGAAAGCAAGACTCCAGGTCTGGAGCCTGAACCAGGACAAGACACCTGCTGGCCCCACTATTATTATTATTATTATTATTATTATTTAACTTGCTCTAGGGCACAGATGCTCATCACAGAGAGACAGAGACACAGAGAAAGAGAGAGAGAAAGTAAGAACGCCAGCCACCTGGTCCGGGACTGGAACCACAGTCAGCTATGTGGGAGTCCTGCGTCTTAATCCCCATGCCACCACTGGCTCTTCTGTTATTCATTTAATTTTTTTTTTCTCTTGAGACTTTTACCAAAGGGCTTGTGCACTCTCCAAAGAGAGACAGAGAGAGACAGTGAGATGGAAAGTAAGAAATCACCCCTCCCCGGGGGGGATGGCCACGCCCCAATCCCTTCTCCTCCATCTCCCTCCTGGGATTTTGGGCACGCACGCACACACACCCTACATGATTTTCTTTTCTTTTCTTTTGGAGAGGTTTTTTTGCTATAGGGCACGTGCGCTCGCCAGAAAAACAGAGAGAGACAGAGAGACAGAAAGC